ACGCGAGCGGAGTCACGGGCGAAAGCTAGTAAAGTTATAAAATATCGTTTTAGTTGCTACATTTCAAATTAAATTCAATTAAACACGATGATTTATTTACAGTGCAAACACGTCGTCAAACCTGTGCAAGATTTGAAATAATAAATCGCTTCTAGCTTTCGAAAGAGGGTTAGGCGTGAGCTTTACGAAACATGCTACAAGCGCGCACACCTTTTACTAAACTATCGCATAACTGTTTAGTCGCATTTTGGTTCCTATATAAGCATACATATATATGTAGGCGCGCATACTAACTACTCGATTTTTAGTAGTGCAACTAAACAGTCGACAATCGCACAATATATGCGACAGTCTAACCAAAGGTGTGCGCCCGCTTTAAACGAGAAACTCCACTACCGTGACTGTTGTGTTGATATATTATCTTTAACCCACGACTCAGCGTGAAATTTAAAAAAAAACTGAGTTACTTGCCTAATGTGAACTTCCACACTATATTCTACAACTGTGCAAAAATTCATCAAAACCGTTAAGCCGTTTTGCAGATACGTAGTAACAAATATCTATTCATCACGACATTCATAATATTAATGATTTTGAAGTTTAATATTGTTGTCTTTATTCTTTAAAAGAGAATGAGAGGGATGCCAATATCGTATCGAAGCGCACAAGATAGTCTTTGAAACCGGACTGTCTTTCAAACTTGATTCATTTGTTACCTCATTTTACAGGTGCGTAATATTTATGACACAGCCCTGCCTTATTAATTATTAAAATAAATTAATAATTAATAAAAACTATCAAAACGTGATTGGTTATTATTTTGAAAGTTGCTTAGCTTGGTAATAAATATAATACTACATTATTAATAGTTCAAGATTTTTTATTATAACAACATAACGGATGTAAACGTATCGACTCGTTTTTAAATTAAAACATAGATTTAATAGTAAAGGGTTTAAATCCTTTCATGCTATATGTTTTCAAACCGCTAGCACATAGTGTGGTTACGGTTAAACAAAGAATATAAAAATCCTTGCCAGGGGGCGCTTCAGTCGCTTCTTCTTTATCACCTTATAATGTGCACTAAGGAATCAGTTCCCGCAATAAATCAAGAGTTTTTAATATTTCTAGTCAAGCAATAGGTACTATTGGTTCTTAAGACCTAAATACCGGTTTTAAAATCGCTTATTTATTTGCAAATACAAATACTGATAAATGACGGCCCTTTCATAACCTAAAAAATATCACCAGCGTAAACTTCAGTTAGTAATAATCGAATTTGTTACCACCCAAGAGCATGTAATTTGATTCGTTAACAAGCGACAAACGATTTCACGGTGCTTGCGGCAGCGACGAGCGACAAGCGACATCGGCGCGTGACCGACACGGCTACTGTACCGTACATTTTATAGGCTAGCTGTGTATAAAAACTATCGAATAACTTGCCTTTAAAGGGTAAGAGGCTATGCTATATGACATCATTATTGTACTATTAGCTCGAAGACAAGACTGACGTTACGCAGTGTAATGTTACAAGGGGAAAAATTCGCATCGGGCGGCTTGTTGCTTGCTGATTGCCCCGTAACACTATGTACTGACTGCTCGCCACGCAACATATTAAATTACACCGCGTAACATCGGCCAATACGCACCCTCAGGTCGTATAACGTGAACATACTCTGTTCTATATCCTTTATTTGAAAAATAAACTTACAACTTAGCGGAACTCGAAATCTCGTTAGCCCAATAATCGCTACAACATTAAATAAATCGTTTATTATAGATATTTTAAATGAGTACATTAAAGATGGGTAAGGTAAGATCACAATTCAGCTATCTATAATTAGGATCGGCGCACGCTTTGTTAAGCCGGCGTAGAACACAGCATGCTTCCCAGATTATGTTTCGTAAAAACTAACATTGACTTATTTGGAATGAACGTTTTAGATGATGGAAACAAAAGAAAATCGAATGTTAACTGTATTACTGTCGCTAAGAACATAAAAACGCGTATGCCTAGCATACTACCGCTAACTCTTTAGTAGGAATAAACATTGATTTATTATATTTCAAACTATTTAGTCGTTAAGTTCTCAGTGCGATATCTAAAATGGAAACTTTATGAACATTACTACGAAATTTCATCAAGGATTTTACAACCACTTGATTAGACTATTTCATATAAAATTTTAATAAAAATAATTATACATCTATTACAGTGCTTCATACATTTAGTTATAATTATTTACGATAAACCCGAGTTGAACGACAATTTTACCATATTCAAATAAAACTCACTGTAATCGACGATTAAAAAATAATAACACAAAAGCTTTAACAATGTCTTTTAAAGGTCAGTCTAAAAGAGAATAAAAAGCCATCACTTTAAAAGCACCCGGAAAGGTTTCACGCCACGCAAACTGTTCGGTATAGGAAATTAGTGAAATTACCCGACGATCGTCAGACGGTCTAATTGTAGGTTATGAAGTATAGATGTGTCTTCTAGACATAGTGTATTTAACAACAGAGGAAATGTTCTACAACTATGATAAAAAATGTCTCTTATTACCACATTTACAGTAATTTAAAAGGATTATTTAGTTTTATTTAATAAGAAATCTCTCTTATTTTTTGACTATTAAATTATACCTATTTCTTCAAATATTATGCAATATAGTTTCTTGATTTTTGCTCAGAACAAGAAGTATTACAATCAGTAACAAAGAACTACGCAACTTAGATAACGCAATGTAGAATATAAATATTTTTCTTTACTCTCTGTAACTAGTTATTCTGTGCTTTTGATATAACTGCCCATATCGGTGGCAGCAAAATAAAATCGATTCCATTCGGGCAGTTAATCATTTGTATAGTGATTTACTTATTATAAATTAACGAGCGATTCGCTGGCAAATTGCTCGAAAATCTGCCGCAAGCTCCTTTGTGATTGATAAAGATTTATATGCGTCATATAGCAATTTTAATAGTTTTTAATTTTATTATTACCGTTAGATAAGTTACCGTTCGTACCGCTATGGATAATATTTATTACCTAAAAAGATTTGTTAAGGAAAAGGTATTATAGTGTGTCTAAATTATTTAGATTAGTTTGACAATTCACTTCAAATTTAGAAGGGATGGTTGTGTAAAATCAGTCATGAATCTTATCAATTTTCGATTTTGACTCTTATAGAAGTTGGAATCGATAGATTTATAGTTATTACCTATGAAATAAATAAAAACACTGTTTTCTCAAATTAATAATGACCATAACAGATAATGAGAGTAAATAAATGTTTATTACTACTACAGCCGTACGTAATCGAATTGGATTTCGCTATTATTTCTGTCATAATAATCAATAATAGAATTATCCTCTAAATTAGTCAATAAGAAAATAATACTTTTAGTTGAGTTCGATAATTATTTAAACCGAATATCGATAGTTCAAAATTGTTCGCTATGCATGTTTGTTTCGTCACTACGATACCTGTCTATTAAATACGGCATTTACCTTCATACCAATTGAATTCGATACTTCATATGCTTCATTCATCAAACTAATCTAATTTATTTAGACAAACTCTAAACCGAAATAAATAATATGGGAAATGTTTAAGACACTGAATCGTAAAGTGTTTCTTTTTTGTTTTTCTGTCCGCTCTATATTTACAAACAACTTCTTTTTCAAAATCTAAATTAATTACAGAAGCCTATCGTACTTAAGTGTTCGAAAGTATTTGTTATTTAAGAGTCTACTTAAAGGATAATACGGCTACATTTAAAACTCTAGCAAAATTACGATAAATCATTGAATAACCGCCTTTCGAATTCCCACACATAATTTTATTCGAATTCAATAATGCTGTGATAAAGAGACGATTTTTCGGTTCATAAACATGTCCAGTCTACGGCGACTGTCGACAAAGCTCATATGCATTATATTATCACTACATAGGTAAGTAAGGTTACTGAGCATTAGGGTGAAATTTCTTAATACAAATATAGTCTAAGAGCTAACGCTTAATAAATTATTCTCAAAAATATAAGACTTAATAGAACGTAACATACATTCTGCCAGCAAAAATTAAAAAAAACTGGCTGTTGCTCGTGCCTTCGCCCGAGTGAATTTAAAAAATATTAATAAAAAATAGCCTACGTTACTCACTAAAACATTATGATAAGATACTTTTAAATGTTGAAGGAATTTTTGAAATCGTCCCAGTGAAAAATACAAATCTTTCTTCTTTATAATATTAGTATAGTAGGAACTTAAATAGTTCTTGCACTAATACATGTATTTTAAATAATCCTAGAAGTAATTTTCAATAAGTGATAGACAAATAAATCATTAAGCTATAACGTTTCAAATAAAAAATCCACAAATAGTTAATCAAAAGTTAAATAAAGATGTTACTACTAAACAAATAATTCAAACTAAATATTATAACACGATAAAAAGATAGCTCCTATACTATAAGAATTACAGAAATGTCAGTATTGTACAAATACGTAGGTGTTTTTATACTAAATCCTACAAGTCAATACAAGCCTTTGTACAACAATCGATAGCTCCGAGATCAAACTTCTATCATTATGTAGGATTACTTCTAAGGGACGTCGGATCTAAACGAAATTGAGACATCTTTATAATTTTATTTGTGTTACATAAAAACGTGGGTGTTGGTATGAATTTACGTGACTCGTATACTTATCCTTATTTTAGATATTTCAAAATTATACTAATACAAAGAAATGATACTTCAGGAAATAGATATAATAATAGAATAGCTTTTGCCCGCGCCGTCGTCCGCACGAAATGGCTTTCGTTTCAGTACTAGGCCGTTAAGCTACAACAATTCACAAAACAACTAATTAGGAATTAACTACGAACAACTTGACTCTATTTTATTTATTCAAAGATAATGAACGAGATAGTGCTATGATTTTAAAAATAAACAATAGAAGCCTACGTTTATAACCGTTTACGTTTGTTTCAGGTAACATCGAAATTGTTCTCACGAGGCGCGGGCGAAGTGAGGTACATCCATCAATCGTATCTCTCCATACAAATTGTTCAGACACAAATCGTTTGGACACATTGCGACACATGTCAAATGATACAAAGTTCTACGGCTATTGGTATAGTTGAACCTAAAAGGTTAAATCCAAATGTCTGAATCAAGTAATATTATTCGACTAGATGTTTCTTGCAACTTCGCCAGCGTGAAGTTAAAAAAATTAAAAAAAAACGGCCTATGTTACTCACAGACAAATTACCTTTCTAATGGTGAATGAATTTAAAAAATCGGCCCCATAGTTTTTGAGTTATTTCAATACACAGAAATTTAACAACACGATTTTTTCTTCTGTATAATATTAGTATATAATCGATTTCTAGTTAATACTGAAGTTTGGTACATTGTCTATGCGTGCGCAAACCTGAAACTAAACTATCGCACAACTGTTTAGTCCCACTTTGATTACTGTAGCTTATATGGTGCGCTCACTTCACGAATTTTACTTGTACAAGTAAACAGTTGAATCGGTTGCAAAACAATTGACAATCACACAGTTGTACGATAGTTATTTTCAGGTGTAAACACGCTATATAAAGATTAGTAAGGTTCTAAAATCTTGCCAGAAAAAGACAAGGGAAAATTAAGAGCAAAATAAAAATTAAACTAGGAAAAAAATTGTACTTCCATCGACTTAAAACACTTTTTTACACGATTGTACAGACATGTTGATTGCAAATATCTAAACATAAATAAATAAACCTTTCGTTCTGGAGTGTACCTGATCAGATCTCTATCTGTCTCAGAATGAGAAGACAGGCGTCAACAGATAAACATATTAACAAGCCTTCAAACGGACTAAATAAAACGAAAGCATTCAGACTACCGCACTTTGATGTTACGTACGAAAGATCTTATCACAATTTTATATGTGGCGTAAACTTTTAAATTGTTTTAATGCTGTAATGACGTTTAACCGTGGATATCCATTGACGAACATATTACTTGTCTTAGAGCGGACGCATTCCTTTGAATAAACTAATGTTTCGCAGCCTATTCGACTGTATAGCACAACTGAAAATCGAATAGTGTGCGCACCTCCATATAAGCTTATAAGAATCAAAGCGAGACAAAACAGTTGTGCGATAGTTTAGTTTGAGATGTGCGCACACTCTTAGTCTTAACGTTAGTGAAGGAGATCGTATTAAGATTCCTTATCCTATTGCTATGTAAACCTACTCTAATAACGCTTTATGTTTAGAGTTGATCGGACAGCCGTAGTACTCCCTACTACTATCACGACAAAAAATTATATTATCTGTGAATATGAAATTAAAAACAAACGTGATGTATTAAAAATATTATTAAAAGTGACTTTTCCATAAATTTCATTTACTTCATTCATTGCTGATGAATTAAAAAACTTTTCATAAAACATAGTTTACAATTTTTCTAAAATTTACCTATAAACAAGCAACATGAAAAGGGGAACTGAATTTGTCCAACGAACGTACAGTATGGGAATATTTCCCTTTAAGTGTCCCCTCCTTCGTTGATTAAAGGTAAAGAAAACCGACTTCCAAACAAAATACACGAAAAATAAAACAAAATGCACTAAAAACAAAACAAAATACACCAAAAACAAAATATTCTCAAAAA